ACTTTGCATGGTTTTTTATCGGGATGGTGGGGGGCCGCATCGGGTTGGCCGCGCGTGCTTCAAATGTGGAGGCAGAGTGCGGTTTGTATTGTTTTTGACAGGGATGGTGGGGGGCGGGTCGGCATGGTGTCGGCATGGTGCCTGGTTGGCCCCCGGTCGCCTGGGGGAAGGGGTGTATATCAATAAGGAACAGTGATACACCCCTCCCCGTCGGGGAAGAACGGGGGTGGAGGAGGAAACTCCTTGAAACACCTACGCCCAAAGGGTTGGTGGGATTCCTCGCTCTTCCCAAGCTGGGAAGGAGGTCCTGTCCAGGCTGGCGAGGGGGTTTTCCCCCCCAGAGACGGTGGCAAGCTCCCGCTGGCCTACTCTGCTGCGGCGTGCCCAGGCTCGCCTTGGCCTCCACGGCCCCTCAGCTCAGATCGCTCGACGAGGAAAAGGAGGAGAAGGAGAAGGGACAGGGGGAGGGGGAGGAGGAGAAAGAGAAGGGATGGCCGTTTGCGAAGGCCGGCCGGGGCTGGGGGCTGCTCCTGGCGAGGAGCGGCTCGAGATCGGTCCCCACATGAAGGAGTTCAAGGAGCCGCCGCGCCGCCCTTGGCCCTGGCCCCCCCGAGCTTCTCCTCCTCCTCCTCCTCCTCCTCCTTGTCCTCCTTCTCCTTCTCCTCCTCCTCCTCCTCCTCCTCCTCCTTGTCCTTCTCCTTCTCCTCCTCCTTCTCCTTCTCTTTCTCCTCCTCCTCCCCCCATTCCTTGTCATTCTAGAGAACTCCTCCCCGTCACACCCCGAGGCCAGTTTTTAGGGCGGGCTGGGCGTTTCGCCTGAGATTTCCTCACCATCTATGACAACGAAGCTTTACACATGACAACAATTGAACCGATTGAGTGCGGGTGGTTTTGAAAATGTGGCTCTCGCCTTAGCGCCACGCGCATTCGTATTAAATGTTTGCAGAGGCTTCACGGATTGAGGGCGGATGGTTTTCAAAATGCGGCTCTCGCTTTAGCGCCGCCTCATCGATTTAAAAAATGGCAAGAGATTCGCAGGTTGACGGCGTGTGATTTTCAACACGTGGTTCTCGCTTTAGCGCCGCGCACATGCGTTTTCAAATTTGCAGGAACTTCACGGATTGAGGGCGCGTGGTTTTCGAAACGTTTTTCTCAGCTTAGCGCCGCGCACATTCAGATGTATTAAAATTTGCAAGAGGTTCACGGAGTGAGGGCGGTTCCTTTTCAACATGTGGCTCTAGCCTTAGCGCCGCGCACATTTTTTCTAATTTGCAAGAGTCTCACATATTCCATTGATCAATTTACAAATGGTGTTTTGGAAGGAGTCAGGTTGATCCGTGGCGTGGAAATCCCGAGAACAATGTTTTGGCATGCTTCAGGGTCTTCAAACGGTCGTCTTCCAACGAGGCAGTTCCTTCAATGGAAATGAACTGGTGCAGGGGCATATGAAGAGGGAATTTGGAGTGAGGGTTAATTCCAACATCGTTGATGGTTCTTGGGTTCACATCGGTCCTCCGCCTCCCCCTCCTCCATTGCTGTTCCTTATAAATAATTTCTCCCTGTCGCACCCGGAGGCCAGTTTTTCGGGCGGGCTACCCAGTATCGTTACCCCGGCTTCTGCACCTCCCGGTGCCCCCCGCCGCCGCCCCTTCGCGGCGCGCCTCCCGCGGGGGGCGCGCGTCGCTCGCACCCTTTCCCCCGCGCCATTTCGGCGCTTCTCTGCTGCGCCCCACTGCGCCGCCCACTGGGCCGCCCAGCGCCGTCACCCGGCTTTCGCAACCTTCGGCCCTCCCCTCGCCGCTCTCCGCGACGTACCTCCCGTGTGGGGCGCGCGTCGTTCACTTTCGGTCCCCTGCACCACTTCGGTGTTTCCCCGTCGCTCCCCGCTGGACAGCCCGTCGGGTCTTGTGTTCGGCGCCCGGCTTCTGCGCCTCACGGCGCGCTCCGCAGCCGCCCTGCCGCGACGCACCTCCCGCGTGAGACGCGCGTCGCTCGCTCCCTGCCCCCATGCGCCATTTCGGCGCTCCTCTGCTACACCACGCTGTGCCGCCCTTTGGGCCGCCCAGCGCCGTTGCCCAGCTTCTGCACTTCCTGGTGCTCCCCACTGCCGCCCCTTCGCGACGTACCTCCCGTGTGGGACGCGCGTCGCTCACCCCCCGCCCCCTGCGCAATTTCGGTGCTCTTCTACTACTCCGCGCTGTCCCGCCCTCTGGGCCGCCCAGCGGCGCTACCCGGCTTCTACGCCCCCTGGTGCTCCCCGCCGCCGCTCTTCGCGTCGTACCTCCCGCGTGGGACGCGCGTCGCTCGTTCACCGTCCCCTGCGCCACTTCGGTGCTTCTCCTGCGCACCACGCTGGCCGACGTGTGTGCCGCGCTGCCTCTTCCCGTTGCGGTGCTGTTCCGCCCCGCTCCTGCGGGCCCCCGGGACGCTATGCCCGCCGCCACCTGCACCTCCCCTCTCTGCCCAGTCGCCCCCTGGCTGCCCTGGGCGGCAACTGTCC